TTAAGACACTGGAGTTAAATGTTTTCATAACGATTTCAAATTACATGTTATTTATATGGTGACATCTTTTTATGCTGCAGGAAATCAAGCAAAAGGTCAGACTCGAAGCCAKCAAAACAGACCAAATACCACTCCACTTGYACAGGGCAAGCAGCAAAAGAATCATGAACCACGCCCAAGACGACCACAATCAAGCCGTCAGCAACGAGAAGATAAAGAGAACAAAGGTAGACAAAACCAGGTTCATGTTGGGAAAGAGCAGCATAACCCCAAACAAGAAAGACARTCGGAGCAGTCTCAAGATGGAAAACGTAAAAGACAAAGAAGAAGAGGAGGAAGAGATCGCAAACCTAAAGACAGTGATGGAGTAGTTGAAGAAAATGTGAAGGATGATCGAATTCCARTGAAAAGTGAAGTTCCTGTCCAACAAGATGAARTSATAGTGACAAATGATGCAGCCAATCAGAAGCCTGAACCTGAGGTTTCTAGCCCAACAGACAYTAAAGAAGAAAATCTTCYGACCGTCGGTAACACAAATAACACTTCTGACTCAGTGGAGACTGRAAGTTCAGGACAAGAAGTGAGCATTGAGAAGGAAAATGTAGACAGCGACACTCAGAATGATTCCAGCTTGAAGGAGGTAAATGGAACATCTAACCATAAAGATGAAACTGAAGTGCAGAGAAACACCAATGAAGAACATGAAACAAAGCCAAAYGAGATCAACTCTGACAATGTGGGGGAGTCTGATGAGATACCCTCTACTGCACTACCTCMAAGATCTCCAAGATCACAAGGCAGGCGTCGAAACAGAAATGCTGATGAAAATAAAGAGAGTTCAAGTGTACATGATCTAAATGGGTCTACCAATGGAATTAATCATAACAGCAGCGATGATGCAGATAACACAGAGAAGAGTGTAGTTGAAACTAGTGATCTGAAAGAAGATAGTGTCACCAGCAAACCCTCTCAAGTAGCTAATCCTTCCCTCATTAATGGACATGATAAATGGCTTGAATCTGAGCCTATTAAGCTTGAAATAARCCAAGAAAAAGAGCTGGAGAACCAATCAGAGATYGACGGTCAACAAGCATCCAATGGGACYGGAGAAGAATGCCTTGTAGAGAGGTGACGACACTCAAGATTTTACCTCTGAATTATAATTATTGTTATTGTAGGGAAGGGGGGAGAAAAAACAAAGAGAATTGATATTATATTATACATATTAATATATATTTGCACAATTTATCAACAATTCCTTCAAACAAAGGAAGAATACACTTTATATTAAGATGTTATTCATAGGCTTTTTGTGTTTTGGATATCAGGAAAATACCAAAAAATCAATGCCTTAAGCTATATATAAAAAAAACAGGCAGAGCTCTTTATTATAATTCATATTTCCACAATGCTATGCATATTCAAATATATTCAAAGCCACTTCAAATGGAAGTACTACAAATTTTGTAAATCTTTTGTATAGTGCCTGAAACTTCGCTTTAAACAAAAAAAAAACATTCACTCACATTCATATTTTATGAATGCAATTTATATATTCAGRCACTATGGATGCCAATTCATTAAATCAATTTCTCAGGACAAAAAAAATCRATATTGTTTGTAGAAGTTTTTATGGTTCATTAATCTTTACAAGACATCARGTGTCTGTTTTGGATTTGTKCATAATTACATTGACAGGTGTAGCCAATAAAAGACRCAAAATGCAAATAAAAAAGGGTTTTATAYACATGCTTGTAACTTTTGTTTTATGTACATGCTGTCCAAAAACTCCCAACTTGTCTTKGAATACTGTTGCTGTTTCTTGTTGAGAGTCAATGTTTATCTCTTTACACTTTGYCTAGGCAATGGCAACTCGTCATACAAAAACAGACRCAGTTTACAGGAAAATGAGTGACTTAGTGAGTGACAGATTGTTCCCCTACAATAACTCTTTGATTGCTAACRCAATCTCCAAGTTAAAAACAGGAACAATGTTGAGTGACAAGATGAGGTTATTTGTATCTCATATTCTTGTTCTTATGAATTCCTTCACCCATCAGAATCAACCCAACTCAGTCCAAACAAAAAGAGGATGATTATAATAATAATTCATGATATATACATGTAATAAAGTCAGAAAGTTGGATATKATTTAAGAGTTTTAGTATTACATTCTCTCCAAACCTAAAAACTGCTATATATCTCATAAAGATGTTTCACCAATTCAGTGAGACTGTTGCAAGACTTGTCCTAAAAGAAAACAAAAAAAATTAAGATAGGTGCAACCTGTTGTGTCTTTAACAGCTATTTTATCATTAGATTAGAAATGAAAAATGTCTTCTTGGAAACAAACAGCTTTTAAAATATCCTCAGGCCTGTTTTCTGCCAGTTTAAAACCACCAGTAAATTATTCCAAACTTACCATAACGTCATCCAAACTAACTGCATGGTCCTTACTTTCTACATTAACCAGTGTTAAGCTACCTGAAGCTGGATAAGATGAAGCAACCTCAAGAGTACAAACAGTCTTGCCACTTTTACCTAACATCACACGCAGATGACCAAGGCTAGGGTCCCAGTCTACAGCATAACTAAACAAAACTACAAATCAGTAAACATACTCTCTAAATATGACCTTGTTCTATTGATGTCAAAGTAGGTCTGGGTACTATGTKTATGGCTAACTTATTTCATTGCTTCAACTTTCTGATGATCATTGTAATGCCATGATAATGCATGCAAGACTCAAGATGACAAATTCTTTTCACAATTCCATCAACTCACCTTTTCTGCAGTTCATCTATCTCCTCACTGAAAGAGTTGTAGTATTGATAGCGCTTCTTGATTGATGTAATAAGTTGTGTTATATCATTTGTTTGGACAGCTGCCTTCACCAAGTCTTCTACTTGTAAGCTGGGTATATTGACCTAGATGATGCATATACAATACAGTGAATATTCATGTCCTTTATTGTTATATTGGGGTTCCTGTGTCCAAAGGAATCCCTACAGCTGTAGCAAGGAGTAACCTGCATAGGAAGCTAACTGTGAACTAGTTAGTATACATATCWTACCTCAGCAACACAAAGGTGAGGTTTCATTGCACATAAGGTAAATTTTAATGTCAGCAGTAAAGGTGTGGTCTGCCGTGTGTTGACCTCATTAAGAGTTTTGCTGTTCAGCTCTAGAACTAGGGAATCATCATTGACCTCTTTTACAGACAGACCACTGAGACTTTGAAGGAGTTCAGTCACCTCTTTTAACCTATCACATACATGAAATATGCAATCAAGACATCTTGAAAATGAATGGAAGAAAAAATGAAAACCAAACTCATTATGTTTCCCCAATGTARTATAAGTTGTACTTACCAATTAACTTTCTCATACATTTCTTTATTATTTTTTATTCTTTGTTGGTCATCAAAGAAGTCTCCATTTATCTCTCCCATWTGATTCTGGAAGTGCTCCAGTTCATCTTGAAGCATTTCAATACAGTGTTCAAGGCTTGATATGCTAGTAGTACATTGTTGAATGRCATAGCTGGACTGCACCTATGACAACCAACATTGTCATTTTATCAGGWTAACATCAGCGTTGTTGCAATCATGAATAATGCACACTGTATCTCCCAATTACAACAACCATTTTATACTACTCCACCTGTGGGAAGAAACCCCTTCCTGACTTACAASTTTTTCTTCAATATCTTTCAAATCTTYGCCTGATTTTCCCTGGTTACAAGATAAGACTAGAGTTACAAGTGGGTGGAAAGTGAATCCAAGAGTTCAWTGATATAAACCTTTTCTTTCAGTTTCTCTGCCACTTCTTCTGATTTTGCCTTTAATTCCTCATACTCTTTTTTCTTTTAAAGTAATAAAATGATGATTTKGTGAAACAATCATGACAATGTCCTGTTATAATATGAAGACAAAAAATTGTATGATGTAGTCTAGTGTAACATTGTGTAACAACCATCTAGGGGGYCGACAGAAAGCTTTATAATTCATTTTAGAGGATTTTAGTATTTGATCAAAAATGATTTTAATAATTCATATTCAAAGTGTACCTTGTTTTGAACTTTTTCAAGATTAGTCTCTAGTGACAAAAGTGCCTCTTGGAGCTCTTTATTATCTAAAATTTAAGTAAAACAATAACTTTTTGGTCATCAGCCTGAAAAAGTAAATGGTTTTATCAAAATCCCTATTACCTAAACTACTGGACAACTGGATTTTGAAATTTTTAGCTCACAAACTCAARTATTAAAATTCACCAAGACTGTCCCCTCTTCATGATTCCCAGGCCTGTGCAATCTTAAAAKGTYGCTGTGCCTTTGCATTGAAGCGAGACAAATATTGAGCCTGCAATAATAGATCCTTTCTTTCATGCCTGCAGTCAATTATTAACAGGTATTTATCATTGCACCCTTGATGGTCGTCTTGCTTTGATACAGGCATGGGTTACCTTTCAAGATTGCGCAGGGAACCTTGAAGGAGACTTTTGAACCAGGGYCACAGCTTGTGACTGGTGCTCTCCTTTTCAACCCTTCCTCCTTATAACACAATCAAGTGAAAATACTACACATCTGCGACTGAAAGGACCACCAATATCATGAGTTTATTGACATTTACTTGTTTGGAGATCTTCTGCTAATGATTCAATGTCATTCTCTTGATTTTTAATGGTAGCTTTGTCTTGTTTCCGATCTGCTTTCAGCTCTTTAATGTGCTCTGATAAAAAATGAAAAAAAATCAGTAACTTACATCATAAGTAACTTAGTTTGATTGTTACATCATAAGTAGCTTAAGTTAGATTGTTTAGACTKCATTTACATTTTCTGTCAATGCATTGTATGATAGTGTTTATGACTTTTATCCTATAGAGTGGTAAAAGAGCCTAACCTTGTACTTGTTCTGACGTTGGCCATTGTTCAGGATCCTTAGCAAGACATTCCAGCAATGACACATAGGTTTCCATCCTGGTACAACTGGTTTTCAAGTCAGAAAATTCCTCCTATAAAGCGACAGAAAGAYGATAAAAAGTCTTCACACATGATCTAACAAAATCCACTTTTTTTTGCATTCGAGAGCTTACTTGAGAGTTTGTCAGTTTCATTGTATAATTTTCTTCGAAGTCTTTTGARTTGATACAGGATTTAACCACAGACTGTTTCTTTAAGTCTTGGATGACTCTGGAAAAAGGTCCGGAAAAAGTAAGCTTACTGTATGTCATCTTGCGCAGTGAAAAACCACAAATAAACGTTTTTTGAAGAAGTTACCTTTGTAAATCATCTATTTGATCAACCATCTTAAAATATTCTTTGAACAATTAAAGTTCAAGATTGGGAATCTTTTCTTTCATGTAGAAATTCAAAACAGGCGCCAAATGTTTTGACGTTACTGTAGCCCGCGATATTGGAAGCCAGTCACACAGGAAACCCACATTCACAAAATAATGAAAAAAAGAAATACTTTCGCAGACTTTTCCGCTAATATGCTGTTAAGTATTTAGAACATGAAACTAAAGGATTAATCCATCAAACATTTTTTCTTCAATTTAGCCTGGAACGAACTAAACCAAAAAGAACGAAGCAGGAAGCTCTTTGGTCACCCTGTGTTGTTTGTCCGAAGATCATGTCATCATGATCGGACGATATCAAGTCTTCTGAATTTAAATCCTTGGGTACACAGCAAGATAACGCTACTAAACGCTACTAACGCTACTAATGGATCGAATTCCAAACGGAGTTCCTTCTAGCTATCGTCAGGGCGAGTTTTGTTCAAGCAGAAGCGACAGAACGACAACTTTTCGTCGATTTTCGCCGTCTAGACGTCTTTTCTGTTTGTTTGCAGCATTTGACTTCCTCTTTACTCTTCTTGCTTGGGTTATTTATGCTCACGTGAGTACATCATTCTTCATTTAAATGTAACGGAAAAATTGCTGATATTCTCTGCATGGATTTGATTTGATTAACGAGGAGATTTTTTGCTAAACCAGAACGGTAATAAGTAGAAAGCTTTTAACTTAAGACTTATATGATATCACATACACACCATAGATTCTACTTATATTATAAAATCACCAGGATTTATATCTGTAAGCAGTGCTGTGTTAAAAAAATGTTGCATAAGTTAATTCGTAGCTTACAGGTGTGTGTGTGTATGTATGTAATGATATTAAATTATTATTATTTACTTAATATGTAAATTTATATGTACCCGGAATTGAATTTTAACGTTTTCAGAGGTAACCAAGATATCATCGAACAAGGAAGGGAATTTTAAGAATTCAGAAATTTGAATTAGATTTCTCTCAACATGTTACATTAATATTCTCTCTTGCAGAAAATTTCATTTTATTCAAGTCAGTCAATTGTTTGATGCATACATGTAATCTTTGCTTTCCCATTCTCCCTTTCAATCTTAGATTTGATATTATAACCATTTTGAATCTGACTTCATTTGTTCAATAACTATATGATACATAATTATAAAATAATAATATAATAATTTCAAAAAACTTGGTTTTCCCATTGCGTAACCGTAATTGTTGTGTTTTTCTTTACATTTCTTAAATATTGAGTGTTTTGTTGTTTCCATTGCGACACTGTATAAACCACTAAATATTGAAGTAAATGGTCTGAAACTTCAAAAGAAATTTAAAGAAAAACACAACACACAGCTAGATGTTTAGTTTTATTAAAATTCAATAATTATATTTTTCGAAAAAAATACCTTGGGATACCTGTGACCAAACAAACCACTGTAATTATCACCTTTACTGGTGAATGTTGCCATCAAAAATCACGCCCCAATACCTATAGTAGCTCTTGGTTGTAGATTCACCTATCACATGCAGACTTCCTCTCCTTTTTAGTCATCCCATATGATATTCTGACATTACAGTGTACGTAAACATTGGGTTTAGTGCAGTTCAAATCATTTATCATTACAAGGAAATGATTTATTATTTCAAGGCCTGCACTAAGCTTAATTGCTAGTGACATTGCGCACTCTTTCACTATGAAATAAGAGCGTGCTTACAGCACGGAACTGAGAATGCAACTGAAAACAATACAAATTTGAACAAATTTGAAGGCAAGTTATTATAACAAATGACCATTGGACTTAATGGATTACCTTAAACCTTGAGATGGACTTATATTTAATTCATCATTGTTTTATGAAACTCTAAACATTATGATTGTGATTTGCTGCCAGGGACTCAAATTGTAGTCGGAGTGCATAAAYCTACTTCACGCAGGCTACTCAATCATATAAACAAAGGATATTCTCATGTCAAAAAAATGTTTATGTGATTGCATGTTCTCTTTTTTATGGTGCTGTTGTTTTATATCTTTAGATTTTTACCAGAGGGATAAAGAAGTCTTTAAGATCAGAAGTAGTCAATTATTCTATAGAAACTTCACTGTTTGATTTGGTGGTAAGATGATTTCAATTTTCAAAATGATATTTCAAAACATTTGGAGGGCATACATACATGTTGATCATTATAAATTCATTTGGTGCATTAAGCTTTGTTTTGCTTCATTAGAAATTTATGAAATGTTTTTTTTTTGCATTTGGTTTCAGTTGTTGGCTCTATGGAGAATGGTTGTTCTTTTATTAGTGTATGCATTATTTCATAGTCGRCAGTGGTATGCCATAGCTGTAAGTATATAATGTATTTTCATCTRTATATAATAGGAGCTGTTAGGCTTGAATTTGCATTGAAAAGTTTGTAGTTTTGTTTATTAAATTTGCACTATTTTTATGAGTAATTGAGCCCATGCATGAGAATAAGCCAGGATATATTGCTTATATTAGCACGTCTTATTAGAACTAAATACTAGAAACTACTAGACAGATTTATTTTCATGAATGAAACCCTTTTCATTAAACAGTTAACCACTTCCTTGAGTACTGGATTTCTTCTAGTTAAAGTCTTTTTTTACAGTGTAAGTATACATTTTGAGAATCTTCAGCTGATATAAACCTTTYATTATAGTCATTTTTGGTGTCAAAGTAGAGTAAGAGTCCCCAGAAATGGCTGCTTACAGAACTCAACTAGTCGAAACTAGTCAGCATTTACTGCCAAAGTGATGTCGCCAATAGTAATCCTTATGAATAAATAAAAATCTGATAAATCTTGTTGTTCAGTTTGACAAATCTCAAGGAAATTCYATGGCATATCTAGAGGTCATCATGACGTTTGTGTTATGCTGGTCAGAAGCCTGGCTCTTGGACTTTAAGGTTTATAACAAAATACATTTTTAATTTTTATATATATTATCAATCATTTATTACACAACAAATTGATTTTTTAGGTGATTCCAGCAGAATTAAAAGCAGAAAACAGATACTTGTCAGGTAATTACTGCTTAATGTCACATTTTATTGCACTTTTAATTGATCAAAGCTTCCTGTGTAAATTGGGCATTTAACAAAATGTTTCATTTAAATATCTAACCAAAATTGTGTGCCTCCAGAAAGCATGGAAACTGCTGCTGGTGAAAGAAGACCTCTTCTAAATGGACAATCTAGGTATACACTCCATGTAAAATAAACTTATGGGATCTCATTGATGTTGCTGTGATGGTGCCCATCCTTGATATATACTTTCTGCAAAGACTGTTGACACTTGCAGTTGCTTTTTTTAGTGAATATAACACTCGCTCTTGGATAACTGAGCATTCTACATTCTACACCCCTTATGGATCACAACCAGGTAAGGGAAAGTTTTTTGTCTAAAATAAAGAAAATAAGTTTCCTGAACATTATTGATTTTTAAGGTTCAGGAGTTCCRAGTGAAGATGAGGATGAAGCATATGGCGATGAACTGTCTTCAAAGGTAATGAGTTCCTTCTAGCTACTGCACAATCCAAATCCTCCTGCTAGAAGACTCCAGGCTAAAAGTACTGGGGAGGCTCGTCGGATCTCTTAGGGGTAAAAATTTGTGATTGGGAATCATTTAGGGTGCCAGTTTGGAGTTTCTGGAAATTTGCATTTTCTGCAATCTCTTAGGGTGTTAGAAAAGCAGTGAAAGAGTGCATTGATATTGATTTTCCTCTGCATTTTGTTTTGTCATCAAATATTTTGTAATTTTATCTATGGAACTGATTTAATTTAACAATATTTGTTATCTCTTAGGGGTTAAAAAATCAGCCAGCCCCTCACTTTTTTCAAGTCTTCCGGGATCTTTTATGGGGTCTTTTTGAAACTTTCTGATGAGCATCCCTGGTACTTTACCCCAGAGTGGTATTCACTGCTACTTTCTTGATCATCCTTCATSATGACATTAGCTATATCAGAAAACTGAACATATTGTAATATCCTTTTCTGCAGGATAAAGCTTTCAAACAACAAGCGAAAGAGGTGTTTATGGTAGCATTAAATTTATTAAATAGCTCTGGTGTCAACTGGAAACTTGAAAAAGAAAAGGTATGGTTATTCGAGCAAAAAATGGAGTTGTGTAATTAGAATTACATAATTAGAAACTCTTGTTAGTCGGACTAGCCGAAGGCTAGGTCGACTTGAAATTTACCTTTTAGTCTATCAATCTATCTATCTATGTTTCATGTCACATTTGGACCACCGGAAGTTAAGAATTTAATAATTAACTAATGACTTGTCTGTGTTATTACATGACCGGAAGCTCAAACGTATTGATGCACAAATATCGTTAGTAAATGTTAGATGCTACTTGCGCTTTTATATGATAAAAAACTATTCGTTTACAAATGTGGTATCTGTGATCTCATTGGAATGTATCAGTCTAGGCATCAGAAGTACACGCATGTGAGGAGCTCTGAGTAGTATGCTAATGAGCTAGCGTTAGACAGTCTTGTTTGGGCAAAGATTTCAAATTAGAACAAGAAGAAACTGGTTTATCAATAACAAAAAGGCGACTTTGATTATTTTATAGGCATCTTTTATATTTTAAAGTATTTATTTTCTTTGCCTTARAGGTCAACAATTTGAATTAAAAACGTATTAGATATCATGATATCACTTAGCGACATTTASTCTACCACGTTTGATTTTATCAGTTCAGCTGTATTAGGTAAAATACACTCTGTTCGCAGGGTATTAATTACATGACCATTCAGGCTAAATTTAGATTTCTATCGTTTTGAAGTCGTTGCAGAGAGCAGTCAAAAAGAATATTGTATCGTGTGAATAAACAGTTTTAAACAGTACATTAATTAAAGTKAAAGKAATGCATTCTTGCTTTCACTATGTATTAGAAGTAAAAAATRTATATTCTACGCCATAATTTWCATTCATGATATAATCATATGATTAGACAGAATATAACATCATAATCTTATGGTGTTTAAGCGCATCCATGTAATATCCTGTCTTTATCAATTTTCAAAAATAGCTGGTCCGACTTCACGCTCCAGGAGCGTCTAGTTGGTTTTTCAGATCACACTGTTACTCTCAAAAGTTATTAAGATTTAGAATGAAACTCATTGCTTTGAAAACACTTGAAAAATAAAAAACAAACACTAAATTGTAAATTTTCATTGTAAATTCCTGATTTACAATCCTCTAAAACCAAATAACTAACAAGCACTGACATTTTGATCCACTGGGAGGAGGAGTATAAGCATGTGTGTGATCTGAATTTTGGTCACCATAAGTGCCAAATGCTCCAAARGATGTCCTGCAAAGAACAGTGAAGCTGGTTGTTTTTGAGAGTTGACCCATGGTACTTGCGCAATGGATTGTTTAACTTTTTCTTGTATTTTTGCCTGTAGAATGGTATTATTGTTGAAAGTTGTATCCAAGAAAAGACAGGAAAACTTTTTCGAGTTCAGGTAACTGATTGACAACCAGTTAACCAACCACTTACCAACAAAAACAGAAAACTTRCAAAATAATCAATGAAACAATGAAGCAAATCATACAATGATAAACTAATTATAGTTATTAAGCTGTCAACCTGTCAATCATTCAACAGTCGGTCAGCAAATCCGACAATCAATCTGTCAATCAATCTGTCATTTCAAACTCAATCTGTTGTTCCATTGCAGTGTTCAATTGATGCGCCTCCAGTAGTTGTCTTTTCTTTGATTGTATTACGTGTCGAAGACGGTTCCAAATGGAACTCATCAGTTATAGAATCAAGGGTAAGTTGGAGTGATAAGCCCCTGTGATGTCATCTAAAGTTTGACTAAGAACTCTGATGCGCACTTAGGACCGCTCTGAAAAAGACTGATTTTTTCTGGAAAATTCCTTTTCTTGACAGGTTTTGCATAAAATAGATAAATGTACAGATATATGTTATAACGTCACGGCAGAAACTGCTGGAGGAATGGTATCAAGCAGGTAAGMACGTGATTTATACGTRGTTGGGCCGCGGTTTTTTACCAATTAATGAAGAAATGATATTGTGGGAATGAWCTGTTATTCTCGGTCGATTTTCAGAGAYTTTGTGAATCTTCGTCACTGGCAAAAGAGAGGGAACGCATATATATCCTGCAATGTTAGTGTGGAGTATGACCAAATGCCGCCGGTCAAACAATATGTCAGGTAAAAAACCATTAACTTGACTTCGTCTGGGACTCTGTTGTGAACTCCATCTAAGACGGACATCTTCGAGAATGAAAATAAATGTCCGTCTCAGAGAGGTGTGTGTGAAGAGGAAGTTCAATGTACTGTTCCTCTTTTTTAGAGGTGAGAATCATCCCGGTGGATGGATGTTTGCTGAAAAAGACGGCCATCATGACAAGACAGATTTTGTAATGATGGTTAATACAGACTTAAAGGTGAGAACAACGATCACTAATTCCCGCCATTCTTCTTTTAATTATTTTCCAGTTTGTATATTCGTTATTCGCTGATATTGTGCTGTTGTTGTAATCTTTTTGGCGCGTAGTTGTTTGTAGATTTACCTCGTGCGCAATTGTGCCTGTAATTGTGCCATTTTAATGATTAACTCACTAAGACCAACAAAATGCACTATAATTGGTGTTCTTAAATCATTTTGAAATGAATGAGATTGTAAAGGTTGCTGATTATTGTTCCAGGGCTGGCTGCCTCAGTATCTTATCGATCAAGCTATGACTGGTGTTCTATTGGACACGGCAGACTGTTTACGTAGATATGTCACTTCTGTAAACGAAGAACAACGACCTGTCTTATAACATAGAACTCCAGCATAGACCTATTTATAGCGGTATTCGTTTGAGTGGTCATCATATTCGTGGAGATTCTAGGGCTAGGGGAAGCATCCCTCTTATCTTCCTTCTTATTCCCCCACTTCCCTAGCGTCGCTGTGAACAAGCTCGTACTATTTCTTTTCTATGGTTGTTTCGTATAAATCCAAAAATTTACGTTTAATAAATACCAGTTTTCCTTTTGAATAGGAAAACCGCTATTAAGATTTTTATTCACTTATTTCTAGGAAAATGAAGAGTTTATACATTTGAATGTATGTAATTGTAATATTATTTTTACAACTGCGCATGAATGCTTCTTGTTTTATCAAATACAAATGGCCTAATATCTAGTAAGTAAGAAAATTCTTGTGAAAAAATCCTGATAATATATTGAATAACCGTATTTCTCTGACACTGCACAAACTATTCAACATAGCTTGTCTAAGAGTTTACAAAATAAAACCTAAATGTTAACCAAACTTTTATTAGGAATATTATAATTTAATTGATAAATCAAAATGTGCAATATTACTATGTTTTTTAGTWTGTTATATATTTTTGAAAATGAAGAGAGTAATAAAAGGACTTATAAACGCGAATGATTTTCCAATTCAGTCGATTATTTCTGTTTGTAATCGCTATGCAAGGTTGTCGTCACACCCTTTCTGTTCACTCAAGTTTCATGGAAGCGAACTTCGCATACATGAAAAACCCGCGTATAAGAACACACATTTTGGCTGATTTGTTTCTTGTATAAAGGGTTATAATCTACAAAATCAGCCTGTAAGTGTTCTGAAGTGTTCTTAAAAAAAGTCACCAAAAATAAGGAACATGACTAGTCTACCAATAGATAAAATCAATATAATTTAAGTACAAATTAATGTGTGGAATGAAAAGTAGTGTTGATCTTTGATATTTTTCCATATAAGTACAACTTTCATTTTTCAGGCCGAATGTGTTCTTATATAAATGGTACTTTATTTCCTAAAATCAGGCCTGGGTGTTTTTAWTCCACTTGTTCTTATACGCGGGTTTTTACTTTATCCATTGGTCTGCGTTGGGATTTCATGAGGGGCGTTAGAGCTTTGGAATCACACTGAACTAGCTGTTGGACGGGCGGGAATGCATTTTCATTGCTGTTTTGGCAAGAATAAAGTCTCTCATTCCCCTCYATACAAAGACCCTTTGCCTTTCTGCCCTGAAGTGAAAATAACACTTCTTGTATTTCTTAGTATTTTATTGAATTTATCTAGCATTCAACTGCAAGAATCTACTTTTGTTTGTATTAAACGAGACAGCCTGCTCTCCAGGGAATATCGTCTTTCGTTTCGATTCAAACACTGGRCTACCTTTCAGCACGTTTCAAAAGGGGGAAGGGGTTATTGTTTGACACAACGCTTAAAGCACTCCTTCCCCACTATAAAAATCAACCTCACGCAAGTAGGTTGGTCAAAGTTTAATAAAATGCGGTGGCATSTCTATCAGTAAATCATCGATTCRCCAGGCTGGTTTTCTGTGGYAAACTACATCTGTTGAGTAGAATTCCCATTCCAAGTATTATTCTCATCGTCATCATCTTGATTTCGTAAACGATGGATGTTCCCTTCTGTGYTTTTTTGGTTGCTTGTATTTCTTTTCCTTAAATCATTGTTTGCGCTGAGAAGAGACGATCGAAGGTAAGTGAAGTCTACACATATAAATGCATCGGGCAGTTGAAACCCAGCCACCCAACATCCAGGGAGAAMGGGGAACACCATTAATCCTTACCTTGCTGTTCTAGAATCAGAAATATGGACGTGTTCTCGGGATCTTTGCATGTTATCTCCGCCATAAGATCCTCGTGGATGCTCGCTTCCACCAAATAAAAACACCTTTATGAAGTTAAACAGYGCAAAAAATGGCGCAAGAATCATCATCACAAATGAATCTGATGAAGAACCTTTTGCTATTGATGTTGTAGTAGCCTATAAAATAACCACAAAGATTCGTTATTTGAATGATAGCGATGATGCCAATGATGATGATGATGATATCAACAATAACAATATCACCAGTTATGTGATAACGAGGYTTTTTTTGATGTTCCGTAGATCGGAGTGACATCCAAAATTTTCCTCAACCTTCATTTTCGCTTCAAAATCATYCGTTAAAATGATATCTGGGTAGATTTTGAAGTTAATGTAACTTACTGGTGAGACAATGAGTGTTGAGCTAGGACTAAGACCAAGAGAGCTAAGAGTTTGTAGCATGTCATCATCTGTTAGTTGTCGTCGAGGATACACCATTGTTAGAGCGATTGCCTTGTAACTTGTCTCCTAATAATACAATGAAGTCGATCACTTTGCATCCGTTGGAATACAAAATAATTATAGTGTTCATATGTAGCTTAAATATTAATAGTTGTCCTTTGTCAGCTTGTTTGCTTGCTTTGACATTTTGCATTTCTCGTTGTGTGCATACGTACTCTTGTCTTTATTTACTTCTGCGTTTCGTTCCTTTACAGCTAAGAAGAGAATGTCGGGAATAAAGGGGGTATRATCCCGGGTATTTTTCAAGTTTTACTAACCGTTTCAACAAACTGTCTCGCTGCTTCTAAGAKCGCATCTGACTGGAAAGTTTCGATTATACAGCTACCATCAGGCAGTCGAAACTGGAGTCTTGTTGTATTCCTGTACAGATCATTTAGATTTACAGTTTTAGACTGCGTAGCGGTTCTGGGGTGGGCCTCTAATTCTCTGGGGTGGGCCTCTGATTCCCTTTCTCCTCCCACTCCCCCTAGAGCTGATAGCAGGCTACGTCGGTATGACAGAAGCAGAAAAAAATAACGGCTAAATGAATTGTGCATAGGAAAGCATAACGAAAGAACAATTGTTGCGCGTGCTGGATTTTGCAGCCAAACTTGATTTCATGTTCATTTGTGTTGCTTCATTTCAGCCCTTGGACTATTTATTAATGAGACAAAATATAAAAGAAAACCTACGAATTTGTCTTCGTTGTCGTCGTACTGGTCGTTGTTTGACTTGACATTGGTTGTTCTGCGGACATTTTTTCTCGTAATTCATCCTTTCGTCTTGCTTCTCTTTCAGCCTTGTCTTGAGCAATCTTTTGACGAATGGCTTCACGTGCCGCCTTCTCTTTGGCTCTGTCTTCTCGTATTTGGTTAACAAGCTCTTGTTGACGTCTTTCTTCGAGTTCTTTCTTTGCCAGCGTTAACTGCTGTCCTTCTTCACGTCTTTTTGTCTCTTTTTCTAATTTTTCCTTTTTCTCTTGTTCTGCTTTCTGTTTTCTCTTTTCTTCAATCAGTCGTTTTGCTCTGAAAACAAAAATTGCAAATATATGATAATCATTTGCTTTTCAGCACAACATCCCAGCTGACTTAAAATGAAGGACCRCAAAATACAGTAAGAATTGGGGAGGGGGCTGGGATAAAAAAATGTGAYAAACCCCTGGCCCCCTGTCTCTGCAGTCCTAGCAATCAACACTACACTAAATTTAGACAAAGAAACAAATACTAAAGTTCTAAGTAAATGAGAGCTTTTAAAACCCACCTTTCAACTCTTTCCTCAACTGTAGATGAGGAAGTTTCATTCTGTRACTCTGAAGCAGATGATGAGCTCTGGAATTATCACATGATAACAGACTATGAATTTTACAATTTGAACCTCACAAAGAAAAAAAACAATGGTCTTTTGTACTTACTTGTGTGGGTTCAGATTCTGTGCTACTTGAAGATTGTTGGACTTCATTTCTAAAAAYCTTTAAACACCAGATAGTTCATTAGAACTATACAAATGTATTAGGAGTCAAATCACACATGATTATAAATAGTAAAAACACCTTAGAGATAATTTCTGCAACATAATAATAATGCTATTTGTGATGCAATTAGAAATCATTCCTACCTCAAAAGCTGTATTTGCTTTYGCTATTAAATCATCTGCAGTTACCRCTCCTCCAACAACTTCTAGAGGCATACCCGTTGAACCAATAAAAAATATTGAAGGGACACAAACAACTGGGTCTGATGAAATTGTCAAGGAGCAACATTTTATATAGGCCAATTACATGTAATTAATTCAAAATATTGATTATACTAAGAATTGCTAAAATACAATACACTATACAAARGATACAGAGCTGTGAAAACTGCTTGCATTGTTCACTAAAAGGAAAGAGATGTCAGTCATGTTTTGAAAAAGCTAAGCATGCTGCTTTATCAATGAGTTGGGCTACCTGTGTAACACAAACCCATATACCTTTGGACAAAATGYTGTCATAGTAAATGGAATCTATAATGGCAAATACTACCATGACTAAACACTAGTCCTAGTCTCAAAGACAATGCTCATCAGATATTACACAGGTAGCCCACATCTTGAGATATATGGTCTACGAAAAATGCTGTTCATCTGCATTTCACTCATACCTTTCATTGTTTAGTTTGATGGCAACACATTTTTCACTAGAAAATAACTCAGAGACCTAAAACATTTCAATAAAAATGGTTAACAGAGAGCTAAACATTGTATAACCTATGCTGGGGGAATTAATTGAAACTCCAACCCTAAAATTAATCAAACTCAATCTGTTGTTGCCAAATAAACTCGAACCACAGGCATAAAAGAACAAAATTACTTGCAGCCTTCATTTTTTTCCCTTTCCTTTTTCACATTTGCTTCCCTTCACCCGTTTTTATCAATGTTGCTTCTTGTTTTAGATGTTTTTTTCATATGGTAAAATGCTTATGACACAACTGCATTTTTGGGGAAAGGGGGATGAATCTGCAAGTTAATAATGTTGCCTAATAATGGTTCAACATTTTGGATACAATTGCGGATTCTCTATTTCTTTTTCTTTAGGTTTGAAACTCTGATTTCACTTCTCAATTTCACTTCTCAAACAGGTATATAAATAATGAAGCATCTGTATTTAGACAGCATTGCAATTAAACTTATTAAAGCTGAAATTTATGCTTTTTCAGCATTTTCAGTTCACACGCTATTAAAAGTCTATAACCTTTGAGTCATTCCAAACTGCATCCATTTGATTGGAAGATTCATCAGAACCTAAGGAAAAATATCAATGAGTCAAACCCATAATTGATATCGAATTTACGAACGGGCTTAAACAAGATATGAATTGTTTTGAAAATAGATTGTCTTGGATTTCATGATCACTTATTTCATGTTACCTTCAATGTAGACAATAAAAGGAAGATTTCGCTGTTTGGACGACATAATGGCCTCTGGTATTCCACCGTTAAACCAATGCATTTTGATGCTATAAGATAACGAGAAGTTACTTATATTAAACAGAGAAATGAAGGAAAATGTCGGGTTACATTTGCGACGTGTCTCGACTCTATGAAAGAAAGAAATACAACTGAGTAACCGCTCCTGGTTTCATCAGAAAGTCTATAATACTGGGAGGGRAGGGAAGGAATACTTAATTTCGAGTTGTTGATATCTTTATCATTTTAGAATAAATTGATAAAAAACTGCATTCATTTTGTAGAAAATTTATTATTCTAAAGGYTATGCATATTTTTTATTACAAATTTGAATATTTACTGGAATTATGCAGGATCAGTGTTTTGTCTACTCATACTACCCTCCTAGGGCACTTTGTAGCAAAAATGGCGGCTGCTTTAACAAGGAAATTATACTTCAGAATTTCTCCTGTACTTTATCCGTTTTTAAGGGAATGCTCAAGGCTTGGACTCAAAGATGTGAAACCTAGTTTATTTTTAATTCAAASACGAATGGCTGGTCATAGTAAATGGGCAAATATTAAATTTAAGAAAAGCCATATTGATATTGCTCGGAGCAAAATATTTGGACGACTTTCTTGCGAAATCATTGCTTGTGTGCGAGGTCAGTATATTCAGGCTATATCAATAAGTAAATATTCATTGAGTTTTTCTGTAAATAGGTTTTGAAAGCCAAAGAGCTAGTTGAATTGGCTTTGTTTTGTTATAAAATACTGAAACATATATAAGCTTAAGCTTAACTTACCATTCAGTCATTTTGTTATTTTAAAGTTCTTGCTTTTTTGGATTATTTTTAGAGGGAGGTGCAGAACTTAATCCCCGCCTTGACAATATAATTGCTCGTGCTAAAGCTGTGAGCATGCCTAAGGCCTCTATTGAAAATGCCATCAAGTCTGGACAAGGGGTATGATGTGAGGGGTATAAGAATTACAATGGTGGTCATTTATTTTGCACATGATTCTCCTTACAAGATGTATATCCAAAAAAAGATCTGTAATTACTATGTTTTATCTGAATTGATACAGAACAAAGACAACCCTTTATCTCAAATGCTTTTGGAAGCTCGAGGTCCTGGAGCGTGTGGACTACTAATTGATGTTCTTACAACCAACAAACCAAAGGCAAAAATTGACATTAACACCATATTGAAGAAAAATGGGTAAGAAAGATGTGCCCTTCAAATGCAGTGATAAATCATGTACCCGCATTAGATATAATCAACAAGATAAAAATTGGAGCTATTTGATGCTTTCACCTAAAGTATTGATCTAAAAATAGCTAAAAAACATGAAGTATTTTCAAGCATTCTGTATTTCCATATTTTCTATAGAGGAACAATGAAAGAGGGTGGAACTGTGCAATTCCAGTATGAAAGTAAAGGTAGGATTTTGGAGGTGGTTGATGTTGGGGACCTAGTTCTAGTCAGACTGTTATTTACATGTCAGTTTACTTGTTTGGCATCCTTGCGACATGTTGAATGAGTGGGCTACTCCACTGTAACAATGATAACAGACAGTTCGACAGTGTCATAAGAGATTGACAGTTCAATTCACAGTTTTCATATATATGATATTCATATCATGAAATTTGGTTTTCAGTATTTGCTGGCAAAACTCATCAAAATTTGATGTTCTTTTAATAGGAGTGGTTACAATTGAAGACTTTTTGCACACTGATAAATCAGACACAGAGAAGTTATCTGATCAAAGTAAAATTGAAAAGGTATTGAAAAATCTCAAAAGTTGGTGATTTGATTGATGGCCTTATTGGGCTTACTGTGCTTGTTAAAACACAGAGAATCCATCACTGAAGGTATTTATATGATATCTGCTTTCTAGGCAGAAGAAATTGCCATAGAAAGTGGGGCAGAAGATGTTTATTTTACTGAACTTGAAGATGGTAAAAGAGTTATAAAGGTAATCAAATGTATTATGCTTTCTAAATGGAGATATTCGACGACACTTGATAAATCTAAAACATAACTGCATTGAATGYTAGTTAACCATGGCCATTTAATAGCATACATGTTTCTCAAACATAACTTACCTAATACATATTGCTCGTTTTCAATCATCCTCATGAGATTCAAAAGATAAAAGRCCGSCRGMYATGTTGGTTGAATGAACAATAGATACTAATTAGAAATCCTTTGTTGAAGTTCAACCAAGATGGCAGCTGTGACGTATATTGCAAACGAAGAATTGTTGAACTATTTGTTCGAAAGGATTGCCCTTCCACAAATAAGTATTCTTTCTTTACTGAAACTATTTTTGCTCTACTTGCCATGATTGGGAAGTTTTAACAATTTTCTTGTTCCTAGTTYGTTTGTCAATTCAAAGAAATGAAGAAACTCTCTGAGGATATCCTATCATTAGAAAGTAAAGCTATTATTCATTCYACTGGCACTGAGTACTTTCCCAAAATATTGGCAGAATTAACAGAGAATCAAATRGACCAAGCTGATAGACTTATAGACTTGATCTTGAATAACTCTGAGGTTATAAGAATATATGACAATATCAAAGATTACCCTAGTAGTACATGTAAATTGTTTATAGACACTCTGATAGTGTAGTATAATTTTTATAATTCCAAATGTTTCAAATATAAAGTTGTAAATTCCTCTAAATTGTGGTCATTCTGTATATTTTACCATATATTAAAAGTATGAAAAAAGYTTGCATTAATATAATTATTAAAATTAATTCAAAATAAGCAAAAGTTTGGAGCACATTTACCACTGGTGATATTCCTAAAAAAATCATGCATCCGAAGGACAGAAAACACATGAAGCACACAGGAAGCCCATGAGGGATTAATTAAATGATAACAGAAAGGAAGAGGGACACCTTAAGAGGATGCTGGTATGAACCTGGCWACTCAGTGGTTCAACTATTGCAATAAAATAAATGCTCCGACACTGATTAAAATTATCTCTCTAAAAGACAACTTGTGGTCTGAAGTGCGGCTGAAATTTGTTAGCTTTCAAAGCAAGTTTGTTTTKTTGTTTTGAAAAGTTCCTTTGTGCTGCATTAACATCTCTGATTTTCTGCCTTGTTGCCTCAGTCATTCCACCATGCCATCCCAATGCTTTGTAGTCTGCCATGATGCTTTTTCTGACCTTGACTTGTTGGTGACTCTCCCTTTCAGGTGGTAGATTTTGACGATAGTAATGACGCAGATCCCTATGACCAGCCTTTGCACCAGATGGCAAGCACARTTCATTAGTTGTTTCGTCAACAGTGATTGTCGCAGCATCTACAATACTATCATCATCATCATCACCATCTTTGGCATCATCAGGGTAACTGCTCGTAAAATCATAGAATTCAGCATATTCCAATGCTGCATCTCCTTCATAATCAAGCTTAGTATGACTTCTACTCAACATRTGATTCTGCACTGCCTCAATGGTCAGGAAGTTTTTACTTTTTTCATTGCAAAACAAGCACATTTTTCCAACCCCTACTTTTTCTCCAAGATATGCAATGAGACCCTTGAGGTCGGTAATATACTGCACGTCGGGGATGAAGAAACTGTGTGATCTAGACATATGCTTCATATTATCTTCAAAGCTTGTGCTCTCATGAGGACAAAAGAGGCACTGTGTTATTTCCAAAGCTTCTTCTTCAAATTCGTCTACCTCTTCAATTTCCTCACTGTCGTCAGCTGGGGAAACATTATCAGAATTACATTTCTTCTCTGCTTCAACTTTGTCTTTCGGTTGTTTAGCTTTTGACGCGATTTCATGATGTTTTTTGGACTGCATGTGATTYTTGAAAGCATTTTCTGACGAGAAACTTTTGTTGCAAATTTTACAGTGAAGAGAAACTTTCTGTTGATGCTCTTTAGCTTCTGCTTCGGCTCTCTGGGCAAGAACCTTTTCCTGGAATAYTTCAGCAGACACCGGAGGCATTTCAGCTACTTTTCGTTTAAGATTGTACCTGTGCCAGTCTGTTTTGTAGTGCTGTCTTTGCATTTCACCATCGGGAAAGCCCACACGACACGAAATACAAGTAAATTGAGGCATTTTCTGGATATATTGAAGATATTAACCAAGATTCTTCCTTTAGGCTTGAAATGTAGTTAGTCTATGGAGCCGTTCAGAATACCCAGACGAAAGCAAGATGACCAAAATCGTTGTTTTTCAACCACGTTCTTTTTGCACCATCATATCGCAATAACACCGCAATGACCTATGGGATCGCATTGGGCTTCCTGTGGCTGAGCCAGCTGTACTTCTAGTCAGCTCATCGGCGCGCGAATTTCAGTTTCAAACTACATGTATCACTGCTTGAAAATGGTGACCTCTTTTTCATTACAACAAACATAGTTATCCTAACTCTTCTATGATGGCAAGGTAGAAAATGAGCACCAGTGCAAAGCTCACGGAAGAACAGCGTCGAAAAATCGAGGAAAATCGTCGCAAAGCTTTGGAAAAGAGGGCCGCGCGCCTTCAAAACCAACAAGGAAACTCATCAAATTCGGCCACAGCTAAAAATATTCCAGGATCTCAAAAACAAGTGAGATCCTTTCCTCACAAGCCTGTTTCGCAAACTATTAGTCCAGAAGGTGCAAGGCCATGCCAAAGGTCAGGTATTCAGGAAAATGGGCCAAGTGATAAAAACATGAAAGAATTTCTTTCTAAATTCTCAAGACCAGGCTCCTCTGCCAATACATACAAGAATAAAGAGTTATCAAGAAGTGATAAGATATTTTCGTCTACCAATGATAAAAATCAGCAAAACATCTCCTTGAAAAATCACCAGCGCGAGCCATCATCAAGTAGTGATCCCCCTGTCTATGGAGGGTTCAAGACTGAGCCATCAAGGGGTGGCCCTACTAAGAATGTAAAAGGAACTTGTGTTCTTTTAAGCCAAACAAGATTTGCAGTAAAGGTCAAATTTCATGGTCCATTGATTGGCATTTTTAAGACAATACCAAGTCGTAGTTATGGTATGTGTATATTTGTCACAAAGGTCTTGGAAAACATGAAATAAGCAAGGATGGGTGTGGCTAATATATTTGTAAAATTGTTCAGGAAATCCTGGACCCAGAGAAGGTTAAGCTGAGACAATTGAAAAAATACTTGGATTTAAGCAGGGGACTTCAGGGCATTCAGATCAGTAGATTCGGCCATTTTCTAATGCAGATTTTCAGATTTTTGGTATTCTTCATTGCAGATTTGCTCATCACTCAAAGTATAAAAATGCGGAATTGAGAAACTGCTAGATTTAGGCCATTTTCTTGTGGCTTTTTAAATAGTTTTTCTTGGTGGATTTGTGGATTCCAAATGCCAGTCCATTCAATGTTTTTCTCCCAGTCTTTTTGCTAAATTAACAGTATTACATGTCAAGTATTACTTCACTAGTAGTCTTACAGTGTCTTATGAGTCATTTTTCTGATAGTATAAAACTCTGATATTKTTCATGCACAGATCAGGAAACTACGACATGGAGCTTTGCATTAGAAGATTATAAGAAATTAAGTAAGTAAACTTCATTTCATTGCAAATGTATAACCCTATTAGTCATTTATTTGTCATTTATTATTATTTTTTTCGGCCAACAGTTTCTGCTGCCCAAGCTCTTCAACCAATTGTATACTTAGAAGGCCTTCCAAAAACCGTTCTGTCATTATTYACCAAAAAACCACTGGGAACCCTTAARGAGTTATCTTCTCAAGATATTAATCTTAACTCCATAGACACMAAACTTGTATCTTCTTTAATGCCATTTCAAAAACATGGTGTTTGTTTTTGTATTCGTCATGATGGTAGAGTCTTGATAGCTGACGATATGGGTCTAGGGAAGACAATCCAAGCTATATGTGTTGCAAGCTATTATCGTAAAGAGTGGCCTGTGCTAGTAGTTTGTCCATCATCCATGAGACTTTCATGGCAGCAGGTATCCAGTATATATAAGCGTTACTTAAAATATGAATGGATAAAGTTATTTGACATGCTGTTTYCATGCATATATTAGTTTTGGGATCCCTGTCCCTGTACTTAAATTTTATGTCATGTAATGTTGGTAGTAGGAGTTACTAAAGATCTAAAAGTTTTTTTTAGGCTAGTACTTGGCCAAGTCGATTCGCCATCTTCTATAATATATTATTATTATTGATTCCACTTTTGGGTTTGAATTCATAATTTGTACTCTTCTTAGCCTGCGTAGCCAGGCGTTCCTAGCTGCCCCGAGAAAGTTTGTGCCAGAGAGACCCAGAAGGGAACTGCGTTCCCTGGTTTCCCAAGCCTAAATTCTCTTGGAGGTCTAGGAATGCCTGGCTACGCAGACTATTCTCGTGTATTTACTAAGTGTATTTTTTTCCAGGCGTTTATTCGATGGGTGCCATCAGTAGATCCTCAATACATCAATGTAGTGTTCACAGGCAAAGACAACCCYACAGCTGGACTTGTTAACATTATTAGCTATGATTTATTAACAAAGTTTTCTGATCAGCTCAAGTCAAAGAAAATAAGGGTCATTATTGCTGTAAGTGTATTAAACTGTTTTGGTTATTTTTGATTAATTCTAAGCATATTTATTTCCCTGAATGACCATGCAATGATGATACTTCTTTACAGGAAGTTTCATTTCAATTTCYCATTTATCCATTTTTCATCCATCCTTTTATTCATTTTCCCATCCCATTTGAAAATATATGCTAATTAAGTAATTATCATGTCTTGCTACAGTAAGCATTATATGTCATCATGTTTCAGGATGAAAGTCACACTATCAAAAACTATAAAGCAGCCAGGACAAAAGTGGCTTTACCACTTCTGAAGGTATAAATGTCRGAATTATTAAGGTCATATGAATATGTATTTGTTTATGTATTGAAGCTATACTTTCCTAAAAGGAGGATTGGAAATGTCAGACTTGTTGTGCTGTGTCATAATGTAGCTATTGTTAACTTTTCTTAGCAAGAAACAATGCAATGGTTTATAGCCTAGAATTCTAAACATTCATGTCATTGTAAATGTAGGCATAGGTTATTATTAACTACTGATTAGTGATTCTTCCTGTTTGATTGTATTTCACAGACTGCAACGAGAGTCATTCTTTTATCTGGTACACCAGCATTGTCAAGACCCATGGAACTATACACCCAGATAWCKGCTGTTAAACCCAAATTATTCCCATCATTCCATGAGTTTGGTGTAAGATATTGTGGTGCGATTGAGGTAAAACAAAGTTATCAATAAAATGTTATCTATATCATAATATTATACAATTAACCCTAATTCTTATCAATAAATCATTATCATTATTATAATGTACAAGCCAATGAGAGAAAGAGCAAMATTGTTGACATGTTAGCACTGTTTTGTTTCCAATCAGAATCGTTGGGGATGGGATTACTCRGGTTCATCCAACATGGAGGAGCTTCAGCTCATTCTTGAGGAAAGTATCATGATCAGGTATCAACATGCATTGTTCCCAATAGACCTCTAAAGCTTTTACGTCATGTACCGTATACGCAATGCATTGATAGGATATGTTTGGGACAGAACATGGTGGATTTCTTTTGTTTTCTTTAGAAACTGATCCCACAATGCATTAGAAATCAAGTAGTGACGTAAAAGGTTGAGAGGTCTATGAACCATCTTGTGAATCTMTAATCTCTTTGAGCCTGTCCCATGATGCCTTGTAACAGCCAGAATCTTTTGCGGTAGTTGCCATTTGAACATCAGAACAGGAGGAAAAAGAGTAGCAATTTAAGAAATTGTGCAATGTGTGTTTTGTACTGTACRTCATCTTATTGATACAGTCTTGACTTCATAAAATGTTCAAAACTCAAGCGTATTTCCCCTCACTGACACTCAGCCAATCAGCACACGATAATTCACTCAATTTTGGTATTGTAATAGTTTGTAACAAAGTAATTGCTTATAGAATTAGAGATATCAATTAAACTATTTCAGACGAATGAAAAAAGAAGTGCTGAATGAACTGCCTTCAAAGCGACGCCAAATGGTTCTACTCGATCCATCTCTTATAAAAACTAAACCTCTTGAAAGAGCTGCTAAACAAGTGGCTAATGCAAAGGTAATTAATAGGTATTACTGATTACTTTGTATCAATTAGGCCTCGAGGATACATGTACTGGGCAAATTTTTGAAGTATTATAAATAACCCTTAAGCAGAACAAAAGCTCTTCCAAAAGGCGTGGCAAATGTTAATTCTAAAGAAAAGCAGAAAAAGAATAATTAACTCATGAATAACTTACTTTGTTTGGTGTTGTTTTTTTAGCAAAAAGATCAACACGGAGCTCTACTGAACTATTTCTATGAATCCTGTTCCTCCAAGATTGCTGCCGTGAAGTAAGTGATATGCTCATAATGTGAAAATAAAGAGTCTCCTTTGTCCACAACTAATCACTCTGCATTGAAGATGGTCTTACAAGCATATCCATGCATTTCATGTTGGTTTTCAAACGATAAGAAAACTTGCACTTCCCCGGAGCTATAATATCCGGAGAAAATCAATTTGTCACTACACGGTGAACAGCTTGAAGATTTGAAGGACATTGTGTTAGTTTTGTCTAACTCTCTGTTTTATTTTCTTCTAAATAGAGAATACATTCTGGATCTGCTGGAAGGGGGTCACAAATTCTTAGTTTTTGCACATCATAAAGCTATGCTTGACGCAGTCACTGATTGTATTACAACAAAGGTAAAAAGTTGTCTTTTGTCGCCCTTGCTGTAGTCTGTGTTACATCTTGTGTTACAATGTAGCTCTGCGGCTGTCCCTAATAGAATGGTGAAGAAGCGCGCACAATTATTCTGACTAAATCTGTAACCCGCGCTCTCCTGTATATTGTGAATGTTGGTCATTTAAAGATGAATGTGTTGCTCAATGAAGTTTTTGTTGAACAACCGAATTGAAGACTGATCGAAAAGAATTCATGTTTTTGTCGCACAGAAATACAAATCAATACGAATCGATGGTCAAACGCCTTCGTCAAAACGTCAAATGCTATGCGATCGCTTTCAAAGTCAAGACGACGTGGTGGTTGCCGTCCTGTCTATCACGGCGGCCAATACAGGTAATTCCCATTCAATTCCCTTCTTTTCTTTTTGTTTTTCACAAATTTTATAACTAAGCTAAACAATAAACGATACTTTTACGACTAGTTACAAAATGTTATGACAGTTATCGGCGAATAAATGTACTCATAGTTAGCTCAAAGTTTACTGAGTAATGTGCGCGAAATCAAGTTTGAAACCAGCAGAAACCCTGGGACACTCCTGGAGTGAAACATATGTTGCTCCCGTTTTTTAACCGCCWGCAACCAAACTCAGTTAGATAATTRCGTTTTCTCCTTTCAGGACGCTAAATCTGAGTAGGTTCCGTCTYCCCACGTCTYACTCGCCGRCCAGTATTGMCTGTATTGRAGAACCATACTTCTGTCTTTTTAGAGAAACAAATATCTAAGTTTTCAGTTGTCTTTTCTCCTCTTTTTAGGTCTGACGCTTACCAAAGGCACTGCTGTTGTGTTTGCAGAGTTATTTTGGAATCCTGGCGTAAGTATTCGATAACAATCGGTATCATCAAGAAAGGAGTACAGCATGATATTTGCGTTATGGGAATTTTTCGAGGACACTCTTCCTTCCCTTAGTGTGATGATTTTTAGTGTTAACCTTGTTAAAGTACGAACTCAGTGAACTCCCTCTGAGACGGACACCTTCTGGGGCGGGAAAAAAGTGTCCGTCTTAGAGAGGCGTCTTTAAGAGGAAGCTCCCTGTGTTGGAGGTTATTTTTGTTTGTAAGGTTGTTTTCTTCCACGCAAGGATTGTTTTTGTTCATAACTTCTCCCCTCCGTAAAACCTTGTGAGTAATGGTGACTGCAAACGGACTAAATGACAGTTGTCAATCAAAGATATGTGTTTATAGGCGTTGGTCCAGGCAGAAGATCGCGTRTACAGAATTGGACAAAAAAACTCGGTGAACATACATTATCTTGYTGCCAAAGGGACCGCTGATGATTATCTATGGTATGTAGTTCCTCCTATATACCAAACCCCGTGAAATAGAAAAAATATCGGTCATGAAGTAATTAGTCACCAAGATTAGAAATGAAGCAATAATGGTTTTAATTTAATCTCAGATTAAATACATTTTGTACTCAGATTTGTTTWTCAATTGTATTTTGTCAGGCCACTTATACAGGGTAAACTTGAGGTCCTGAACAAGGCTGGGCTTAGTGGAGATGATTTTTCCGAAGCTGACACGACGACATTCGMGGTAATAATTAAACTGYTTTTGTTGTTTTCTATGTTTTCTTTTAACAACCATCCTGTTTTTGAATTCATTTTAATAACTTTTTCTTCAGGATCCTAAACAGAAAACACTGTTCTCGTGTTTCGAATCTTTGATCGAGGAAAACGACGAAACGAACACGAGTCTGCTACTCGAATCGGAGGATATGGAGCCTTCCTCGCATGTTTCTGACGTTACTGTAGCAACTGATACCAAATCACGTGACTGTGATGTTGCCACGGTGACTGATGGTGTGGATTGGTTTGATGGAATGGATAACGATGATAGTTTATTGGCGAGCTGTGTGAATGATGCTTCAAGCAGARTMGGGAAAATAAAATCCATAAACAGTAAGGAAAACGAACCATTGGCTAAAAGATCAAAACGACACTAGCAGTATTATATGTGAAGCAATGGATTTATTAATTGATATATTAAATGAATTACGATATCTTATACTTGGTTTTCAGTGATTTTGGGGATTTTGACAATCGCGTAGCRCCTTGGTAAAAGAGTTACAATTACAAAAGTATCAAACTGTCTGGTTCCACGGTCTAGTATAGTTRTTATTATATGCGTTATTAGTAAGCTAAAACTGCACAGTTCTAATCTGTTTCTAATTGATTGAAATGTAATTTTCTTTGCGATCGTTTGCTTTGTTTTACAATTTGTTGAAAGTTGCTTTCTGATTGGTCGAAAATCAAAGATGGCAGATTTCCGTTTCTGAGAAAATCGCGCAAAAGCTCTTGGATATATTAGGGAAGGGACTTACATGGTCTGAAGGACATACGTTTTTCGGATTACCGTCTCCTCTCTTTTAATTTCCAGGGAAATCATTGATATTATTGTCCGTTAAAAGTACTTGACAATGAGGACAGTATGACCTCGAAACGTCGTAAAAATCACTTGTTGTCTTTATCGTTTATTTTACTACTGAAATCATCATATGTAAATCAGTTTTTTTTATACGTTATCATTTTAGTGTCTTTAAAATCGACGAAATTGTAGGCTAAAGCATAGTTAATAGAGGGGACAGTCCCCTCTATTAACTATGGCTAAAGATACCAAACGTAGCTACAAAAACCAATATTTAAAAGAATGATATTTATTGTATTTGAAGTAATATTATATTCATAAACATCCACTACAGAAAGCATCTAAACAAAACTCAACTTATGTTTATCTTGTTAAACTATACAAGTCATCAAGTAACAATCCTCATTGGTATTTTTTTATTATTATTATTTATGTTTTTTCAATACTCAGAAATTCATTATTTGATCAAGTCGTCAAACAAGTTCAGCTTCACTGTTTGAAAAGCTGGACCGGCTTTCGGATGCAAATCTAGGTTGAGTAAATATAACTAATTTACCTCTAATACAAGACACATGAGTTCGATATAGATCTGTATGAGGTACGTAGAGACCATTTTTTACTACTAAAACRGTCGAATATTTTCGGATATTTGCGTTATTCTTTATTCTTAATACTTTTTCTAAATCGTTACTAGTTAAAAACAGTTATAGTTTTTATATAAATTAGGCAATTTCTCTTATTCTGTAGTTGTAATTAAGGATAGACGACCTGACGTTATTAGGTTTTTTTTTGGTATGGCTGATAATGTTCACCCACTTGTCTGAAAAAGACACGGACAGACCAACCAAAAATGATCGTTTGAAATTTTTATTTAATAGAAACAACAGTATCAAACTGCATTGTTTTGGTGGGTGAATATTGCCATAAATACCAATATTCTCTATCCTGGACAATCCAATTTTTTGTTTTCTTAGTACCATAAAAAGAAGCTGGTCAAAGAGCTGCAAAAGATGAAAAACTCACTATGATTATCTAGCTTTCGAATATGTTATTTATCAGTTTTTCAACCTTCTTTTATAGTGATTGCGCTTTTCTGTCATTATTCTCTTCTTTTCCTTCTATGTCGTCGTTTTTTTATGTCTTGCTGCCGTCTTATTTCCCCTGGCGACCATAATCCTTAGATATATTGCGTAACTCTAGTGAATATGCTCGCGCTGTATGTATAACCCTAAGTAAACAACTTGGCTAGAAATCAATAGTCCCATTTGATAAATTTAAAAAAGTGTTTATTGTCAAAAGTATAATTAAAGATTAAAGAATCCCCAACGGGTAAAATAAGCAGCATTTAATTGATGTTCATCAAAGTAATTGTCAAAAACTGAATATTTCAGTTGAACATTTGGATCACTTCACATTGAATCATTTCTTTTAAATACAATTGAACAAAAGTTTCTGGTCAGTTTTTTTAAAAAAACAATTGTTTTAAAATTCAGAATTTAAAATTACATTAAAAAAATATAAAAAATGAGTGCAAGTATTTTTCCAAATAAGAGCAGTTAAAAAAAACACTTAAATGAATAGCTACTAGCTATTGTAATTCGGTAATTGGCCTATTGTTTCGCTAAACTTTAAATGTGCCAAAGACACTGACACTTATGCTCTTCTGGACAATACGGAGATACGGAGAATCATTTCCGAGCATCGTGTTCGACAGTTGTGCCTGAGACAGGACAGACAGACGGAATTTATTGACAGAGCATAAACTACTTTGCAGCTATTTGGCAGCTTTTCAGTTATTTATGCAAAGCAATAAAAAACATGAATTTCGTTCAGGTTTTTCGTTCACATAAGTAAAAACAAAAATCAAAAAAAAAAAAAAGAAAGAAAGAAAATGTAAGTTACATCTTAAATTACGAGTCTTCTACCTTGAGCCTTTTGGTTAAGAATTCAAATGTCATGGCAAAAGTCTTCATATTTGCCATGGTTCAACAATTATATACAGAGTAAATCTGTTTGCGTTTGAAACTGTGCAATGATTTTATTCTTTCAACCGTTAAAATGTAAAGACCTTTTCAATATCCAGAATATAATTCAAGTCCAAAAAGATTGAATAGAAATCACTTTAACTCAAAATAGATGTTTTTAATCTCAATTCTTTCCATTACTGGTGCTGGTATTGCTTATTAAGATGCACATTCATTTGTCAACAGGTGTTTGGAATTTTGTTTAAGTCGCTCAGCGTCGCCTCGCGATTTATTCGGACTCGGCGTCAGTTGCGTTGCGCCAACWCCGGAAGCATTCTCTTAACCAAACATTGCTAAACATCATAATTTGGTGAGGATATTGAATTTTATTACATTACTATTGTCTTTTTTTATTTTTTTTTTAGGAATCATTACATTTGAATTTGCTGATTAATSAGGATTTTCTCTTCTCAGAGTCCCACAAGATAAAGTTTATGGAAGACTTTTTTTTTCACCCTCAAGTCATTTGCCATTCTTTTACTTTCAACTAAATGACATAACGGCTGAATTCAATAGTGCCTTTTATGGATTACTGTTCTTATAGAATTTTTTTTATTATTTTAAAGTTAATATAAAACTGACCACTAACGAAGAGCTTCAAATTTCATATATCGAATGACCTACGCAAGGGTAACAGTGTTTATTCATAACTAGATAGTTGTTGCTGTTTACTCATCGGAAAAGCTGGCAAGATACCTCAGTTTTATCGCTTATCATCCAACAGCATTTATTTATATATTGGTGTGTAGAACGACACGCTTGCTTGTGCATATCTGCGTGCATTTTTAGACATTTTCTTGCTATTTTTGCTTGTAATTTCGACTCTTATAAAGAGGTGACTTCAGTGTCAAACACTGTACGTGAACTGATATGGATTTCTACCGCTATGCCTTGGTTGTTGCAGTTTCTTTTTCCTTTAGTGGGCTCCTGTGTTTATCAGCAGGGCAGAACTCCTCCAAATTCAGTGTTGCTTCTGGCGTCCACAGTGAACCAGTTAAAATCACCAACGCAACGCTCGACTTTGTGGCAAAAGTCTTCCAACGATTCTCTGAAAATAATACTCAACGAATGACTGTCGATGACTTTTCTCGTTTACTTGAAACTTTAAAGATTGGACAAGTATTTGATGTTTCTGGCCATGCAGAGCATGTGGACAAAAATACCCTAAAAAAATTGAAAGCAGAAGGACAAGACGACCATAATGTTCACAGAAGGAGCGTTGAGTCGCAAAACGTCCATGGCAAAAAGCTGAATTATCACTACCAGAGGTTCCACAATAATGTAAGTATATCGAAATATTCTAAGCTTGTTTCAAATCATTCTAATTTTATGTTTCTAGTTGGATTAAATCGTACCATTCTTGCAGGTTACAAAAGTTACTTTGTTTGTTTTGCCGGCGATTTGATACAATAATATTTAAAAAGAAGGGCTAATGATTGATATGATTCGTTCTTAYGTAATTTTTCTGAGTAGAGAAGAATTCTATCAAATGCATTCAGTGGTGGCRTTATTGTATTAGCAACAATTTCTTTGACAGTGAGCAACAAAAATACGCAATTAAAATGCATTTGGTGTAAAAAATCTTACGCTGCAGAATTTTYAACCTCGGTCGAATCGTCGCACAAAATTTGGAGATGGAACTGTTTTGTATCTTAGAATTTCATGATATGCTTTTCAGTCGAACTAACAAGCATAGCTTATTCTYGGTTTTACTAGACTTTGTAAATGGATTCTATTTCGTCTTACGTTGTATATTTATTATTTATATGTACCGGTACACTGCGTTATAATTATATCTGGTTGATGTGTGTAGCCACGTAGCTTTAGCGACCTTTAGCTCCTGAAGTAATAAATACCTTGCAAGCAGAGGATTTTTTTCACACCCTCCTACAAAGAAAAGAAATGTAGAAAAATCCTCTGCTTGTACCGTACGGAAGAAATGAAAACCTTTTACGGAATATGAGTTCCTAAGCTCAATTCTAGGCACTATACTTTAGAAGCTCTCTACGTATCAATGGCGCAAAATATGAGAAGGCAATAGTGTATAATAGCCAGGATATTGCATTTGGCCGGAAAGAGTCCCCAAAGTTATGTTGAACGTGATACGAGCTTTGGATTGGAGTTTTGAGCTTTTATGTATTTGTTCTTCTGCTTGCGTTATGACGCAGGTACCCTGCGAACAGAGGATTGTTCCACCTCCTTCTAGCGAAGAAAGGAAAAATGTTTTTCTCCTTTCGTAGATAGTGGAAAAATTCCTCTGCTCGCAGGGTATGACGCAGGAGAAATTACGATCAAATGTAACTAATACGATACAAAACACAAGAAAAAGCATTGATTGCTACAACCGGATATCGCATCTGACAAAACAACTTGTTGTTGTATAATTTGTTATTTTGCATTTTGGGATGGTTGCCGATAAACTTAATGGTACGTGATCGTTCAGTAAGTATAAGTAATCAAATCAGCTTTATTCTGTTTGCGGACGAATGACGCATGAGTGACACCAAGATAAAACTTAAGAGCAGGTTTGAATTCTTTTGCCGGGATATATTCACTTTTTCATGCTATTCTAAAAGCTTTTTCATGCTATTCTAAAAGCTAAGAGGAATTGCAAAAGACACTTGCATCCAGATCTATCTTCGTCCACACGAAACTTTCGCTGAGCCACTATATATTCATTACATGTAGTTACTATTTGGTTCACATACAACTTTTTTATCCTTAGTGAGTGGAAAAATTCCTCTGCTCGCAAGGTATTTTGACCTATGAAGTCTTTTCGGCTTTTCTTATGTCATAACGTTGGCTTCATGTCAATAAGTTTTCAGTCATTGTGACTATTGGAATACTCATAAATTAAGGCTTGTTATGTCGCTAGTATCAGGAACCATGCAGATTTTGGCAAATGTAATAAATGTACTTAGGGTAAAACAGAAAATAAAAATGTACGCGATTACTATTTTGAATTTACTGCCATATTTCAGGTTCTCGCGCTACTTCCCTATATCACGAACTGTATTTTTAGCCCGAGTGTGCGATCTATTTGATTCCATTTTTCTTTTCCATTTTTCATTAATTTATTTGTTTCTCTGTTTTAGTGMTAATAGTTGTTGAAGTTTATATATGAAGCGAATTCCTCAGAAAGGAAAATTAGTACTCGAAAACATAACTTCCTGTTTTCCTTAATTTTGTATAGTGTATTCCGCCCTGGTCGAGATGTGATTTTGTTTGAATTCATCGTGGAACTTTTGACTCACTAGTAGTGCTAGAATGTTTGTCAATATTTAGATTTTGCTAATTTTGTATGTCTCTGGCGAAAGTTCAAAAAGGAATTGTTGCCCAAAATTTCGCAGGCACGCAAATTGGTAGTCTCCTTCGCATCCGTTTTCGGTGTCAAAACGCGAAGCGTAATCGCATCCGTTTCCGGTGTCCAGATTACGCTTCGCGTTTTGACACCGRAAACGGATGCGAAGGAGACTAGCAAATTGGGAAAATTTAGCCGAAAACCAAGCCGAGCGAGCTAGCGAAAAATTATTAATGGCATGATTGCTGGTTTTGATCCGATACGAAGGAGTTTGTCACGAGAGCTCAGCTTGATCCATTTGCGAAGAAGACGGCATGCAAGCGGCGCGCACTAGGACGCATTGRGGCGGATCCCGAAAAGTGACGAAAAGGAACCTGTTTATTTTTTCAAATTAAAATGAAATTAAATAATGATAATTATGACGATTGAGATTACTGAATATGATTTTCTTGTTTTTATCAAGTGTTTAAGCAAAGACCGGCTGCTCGAGATTCACCACATCAGCAAGAACAAGGTGCTCGCAATCGATGATTTCATCCAGCTTTGTCCCTCGCTTGTCTATGAAGTACAGAGTGGGAGTTGCTGGCATGATCCCGAAAGCGTAGCAAAATTAAAAGGAGATGGCGTTACTCTTCTTGGTAAGATATCCCTTGATACACGAATTGATCTGTTAATAACTGCCTCCCCTTCCCTTCACCTTCCCCCTCACACCTTTCTTGGTGGAGCTATGTAAATATGTCGAGCAGTCTTTTCAAAAGAAATCACGATGCTGAAGTCATACCTTAGCAGTGACAACTGTCATATTTAAGATGAAGTTGAATTACCCATATAATAACAAATACGCAATGAACGAAGGCGTTAATAAAACACTAGGTAAATTTTTTGCCATTCTATTCTCAATGTAGTTTGGGCGTATGGTATTGCTTCGATCACTGTCATCAGCTTATCAACACTWTTAGCCATTGCTGTCATTCCATGTCTTGGGAAAGCTGTTTACAGCAAGGTCATGTCTTTTCTCGTCGCCTTGGCAGTTGGAACACTGGCTGGAGATGCATTCTTGCATTTGATTCCACACGTAAGTTGATATAATATGTGCCACTCGAGACATTACTTGAGATATYACATCAMCTMGCTTAGTGCTTTGGATCTTATGTAATCCCAGTCAATGTAAACGTGAACAAGTGAGCCCCTTGGCATCTTTCTATCATTATTTAAATCGAGACTCAATTTYAATTTGCAGGCGTTTTTAAGAGGCGTTCATGAGAGAGAAGGGCATGATGAGGACCATGCAAACCCCCTCTGGAAGGGCGTGGCCATCATGTCGGGAATTTACTTGTTCTTTATGATCGAGTCTTTCATGAAAGCCAGAATGTCACAACATCAACACCAACATGAAAAAGAAGAGAAACCTCAATTGGAAGAGGTAAGATCGACGGTAACTGAAGATTCACTGAAAATTWCAGTGCGCATTTACAGTTCTACATTTTGCTAGTAAAGACAAAACAAGTCTTACGTACATCCCAATTATATGGACAATTAGATAAATACTTGCAACTCAGTATTGTTTCATTTCTTGACAGAGATGCGGAACGCCTCTTCCTAACGATCCTTTAGTCAATTCAACCGATATGGTAAACCATAATAATTGCTCGCCACGTGACTGCGAYGAAGCCAATCGTCAAACCAAAGGAGGCTTTACGAGTCCTAGTGCTGACAGTACGTATATGACAGACTTGTCTCAGTCTGATGCAGGGTTAGATAGTGACGGAGTGGTACAATACAACGAAAGCATCACTGTTATCGAGAACAAGACCCAATGGAAACCACCATCATTTTTYCCAGACGATATCGACGGCACAGTTCTTGTAGAAAAAGGAAGCCATATTGGTGACTCGTATTCCTACACCACGTGTGACCCCCATCATTGCCACAACACATCGCAGCTCAGCCCACCTACAGATGTCAGCGTTGGAGAATCACTCGACGAGACAGATAAACCCGTTGTCATGGATGATCATCACCATGGGCACCATCACCATGAAAAATCGATTGACAAAAATACCAGCGTAGCAACGGTTGCCTGGATGGTTATAGTCGGTGATGGGTTTCATAACTTGAGTGATGGCCTTGCTGTAGGTGCAGCCTTCTCTAGCTCAATTACCACTGGTCTTACAACTGCTATTGCTGTTCTATGCCACGAACTTCCCCATGAACTCGGTAGGTTATTCTCAGTCTATTTYTGCTGCTTAGCAATTTCCTGCGTAATTCTACGTATGTTTATCAATGTCCTTCTAGTCCTATTTGATGCGATTTATGACCCAGTCGGGTGTGATCTCATTCCAAAACCCATTAAGGTGGCCTGAGTATCAGGCTCTCTCGAAGGGGATTTGGACGTGTCGCGCTCCGCCCCAATCCCCTTCGAGAGAGCCTGATACTCAGGCTACCATTAAGGAACTGTKAACCTATTCTAGTAACAAACAACCTTCGATGCATTCGGAATGAGACTTTCGTAGAAAATGCCCGTGATGCAACAGAGGCTTGGTTATTTCAATCCCCCAACAGGTACTTTGGCAAGGGCTAAAGTCGCTCATTATTGTAAAGAAAAAAACCCAAGTAAAATGAATTTTTGATGAGCTCGCAATCGTAATATCGAAAAGTTGGTGTGTGGCTTATAACCTACACAACTCCTCCCCTGGTGCCCACATTTTTGTTTAAATGTTCGTGACGCAGGTCTAGCGTTGCATATTTTACCAATGAAGATAAATCTATGTGCWATTAAAGTATACTAAAATAGACCAATCTTTTCTTTTCTCAAGGAGACTTTGCCATTCTTATCAAATCTGGAATTTCCTTYCGACAAGCAATAGCSTACAACCTGGCATCTGCCTTTATTTCATACATCGGCCTTGTGATTGGAATGGGTCTTGGCAACCTTGACACATCACATGTATGGGTACTAGCGCTAACATCAGGCTTGTTCCTGTATATATCACTTGTCAGTATGGTAAGTCATTGCAAATGGGAATTATGCACCTCAWYTGAACAATACCCTGGGTACAAGAGGCTGTATGGGTACCCTAAGGYAMCCTGAGKGTAATTGAACAATCCAKAAAATGCAGCTAAGTACATCTGTGAAGAAAGAAATTGATTTTAAATTGTATTTTCTAAGTTATGGGCAATTGAAACTTAGAAAATGCAAATGAAGTGACGTCTACTAAGGAATGATTTACATGTAATATACAAAATCTTTCTTCCCAGAAGTTCTTGGCAGCGTGTTAGTGTTTTTCTAAAAGGTATCATGTGCACTTACAAACAGTGAATCAAAGACCAAAAGGGTACATTGGAAGTGCGGAAATCAGATGAATTGATATATGAATAGCCCATATTTCTTGAATGATATATAGGTCTTTGAAAAAAAGCGTTGCAGGTGTTGAGGACTATTATCCTGTGAATAGTTAGTCATTCTTGCTGTAAATTTAATCCATCACTGCAAAACCTCAACCCTCATCGCGCTTTGAGATGCCGACAATTGGCTCCTTTTCAACAAGATGGCGCTGGAAACTATAATGGGAGTGTTTGAAATGTTGATTTCGCGAATGAGCCTTTTTATGATTTTGTAAGCGCCAACACTGAATTGTCCAATTGAGGGTACTTTTCACTCGGTTTATTAATTTGTTAATGTACGATATTTTTTGTTTGTCATTTTTTTGATTCTATCTTCTCGGTTGTTGCATTTACAGTTACCAGAATTAAAGGTCTACCAAGAGAAAGGTGGTTTCACAGTTTTTCTTTCGCAAAACGCCGGTATTCTTACGGGTATTCTTATTATGTTGATCATAGCACTATTTGAGAAGCACTAGTAATATGCCATTTCACGGTTCTTTTTACCCTGCGAGATAACATTTTTGTGGAAAATTCCTTTCCCTTTACCTTCTTTATATGATATCCGGCCCTATACTAGTAGTATGCAAACAATATACGGCTGAAATAGTCGTGTAACTACTAGTATATAGAAAAGAGAAACAAAGCAACACTAGAATGGTTTTAGACGTTGTATATTGTCGTCACTATCTATTCCAAAGGTATTATTACGTAGCACTCTGCTTCGACGAGTTACGACTTGCTTAATGAGAACCGTGAAGTGGTGTATTGTTTTACATAGCATAAACACAACATTATCTTACGTAAATCTTACGTTAACATAATAACGACAAAAGCACAAGAGAGTTTTAGATACGCGTTTACGGCGAACGCCAAACGTCAAAACTGATCACGTGATCACGTGATCACTGTTTTTCTGTATTAACGCTCCGTTCGCGATTGTGCATAAAATAGATCACTTTTTCGTGCATAAGTGCATTATTATTCCTTTCGAAGTGTTTTTACGTTTGTTTGGAATTTTGAGACAAAGCACAAGAAGCCCATTTGACGTTTGGCGTTTGCAGTAAACGTGAATGTAAAGCTATAGCRAGCGTAAGGTCACATTGTGGGCGGATACATAATATGGACACTTTGAAAGGGCTGGCTCGCACTAATACAACATACACGTAAATTAATAAAAAATTTGGCAAAGAAACGAGAAGATGTTGTTCAACATACAAAGACAACAGAAACATTATCAGAATTAACGAAGGATATTTTTTTTTTATTTGTTTGTTTTCGTATAGTGTGAACCAGCCCTAACACTTCACCACAACACAATACGTAACAATATTGGTTTTAGAGTGACAAAAATGGTYTTTAKCGCAGTTTTATAGATTCTTWMGATTAACTTTTAACTTTTTCAATAATGAGCGTTTTACATGGAGTACAAGACATATTTTTACTAATTTGAATGACTTTTCAATTGATGCACATGACGGATTTTAACGGAAAAAATTACACTTTCAATATACGGTGATATTTGTACAAAATTTGTATTTATGGTTGGGCTGCCTGTGCGGTCTATTACGAAAATGTGGAGGCTGGTTTTGCCTCGAACCAGTTAACGAGAGGAGAAGATGAGTGAATAACTGTATCCATTGGATAAATCCTTGATTGGATCAAATCACTACAAAATCTATATAGTGGATAATGTTATCCATCCTTCGTACCAGCCCTGATGGATATATAATTTTTCGAGATTTCGGCGGTGCCAAAATGTTTCATTATTTATAAATCATTTGATTATACTCCACGCTGACATCAATTGAGAGCGAGGYGGAATTTCAAATTCTTTCTTTAAAAAAATTGCGTTAAGAGCAAACTATTTCTTATTTTCAAATCAGAACTGATGTTATTATAATTGAAAAATTGGGAAATGCATTCTKGTTGGGATAATATATAATAGGCCTGATTTTAGATCTTTATACTTATTCAGAAATCTCAGTGACGAGCATCAGTTAGTTAGTGTTTTTCTAWAAGAAAATCACAATTAGTTTTATCAATTGAAATAATTCGTACTTTCCATTTTTAGAATGAACTATTTGTATTTTATAAATATTTTTTAGCGTCAAATGAAACGGTTTATCTATGAATGATTTATTTACTACGAAACGGTAGTACAGAGAACTTTATATAAAARCTGCTACTATTTTAGCAAAAGCTCTTATTTCTGCTCTATTCAACTTCATGTTATAGCAGGACAGCATTCTTACAGCCGACAGCAAAAATACTTTGAGGAACTGATTGAAAGAGGAGAAAATTTATAGGCACATTTCAGGTCTAGTGTTCCGCCATCAWTCAATATCTTGCTCYATTATAAGGGAGCAAAAATGTATGGCTTAAAATTTCTTCAAGGAGCTTAAAAAATATCAAAAATCATTTTTTTTTTTCCTAAACGAAGCGACACTTGACTTGAAATAAAAACAATATTATGTTTCGATATTATATTTATATTTAACTATGTTAAAACCGTTTTTATCAATAACTTTTATATCTTTCTTTCGATCGTGCAACTCGTATCTTTGTTGTCTGTCAAAATAATTAAGGTATCTTTTAAGATACACCCATTTAAAAGTCTTAACAAATTCTATATTGAGTGGGTGCATCATATGTTTAATATATTTGGTTTACCAACACCATGATTTTAGTTTGCTTGTAAAACATTCCTTTTGCATTCTTTTACTAGGTAAAACAGTAGTTCATTTCAATTGATTTATTGATAATTTATCGATAATAAAAGATTATCGATTTATCTATTAATCTGCACCATTGCGTGCTCACATGAGGGTTTTAACCAGCTAATATTTATACAAAATTTGATAATTGAATTRAAATTTTAAAATAAAATTTTACAGATCTGAAATGTTGCAATGAAGTCTACTATTTTCATTTAGATTGTTACTTACATTAAAACTTGTTCCATGAAAAAATTTTTTTGATCCCACATGGAAGAGCCAGTCCCCGATCGCCTGATTACAAAACAGTTACGAGGAGATACATGAAGACGACCCCAAGTTTTATAAAATGTCTACACTGCTCCTACATTAACGAGAAATGCTGAAATGAAAGTTGGGATTTGATATGGTCTCTGGTCGTTCGCGAATCTTATTTTGTTGTTGCTCTCATTGGCTGATGACCACGTTATAGTGGTTCCAGGCTGAACATGGTTTTCATCGATCGGGCATTTGTTACGCAAACTATAAAGAACTAAAGAAGACGACTAAAACATACTTAAGCAACAATTTTATTTATGATACAACACAGACAAAACTCGATATTGCTGCTAATGTACATCAATTCTACAATATATTATATCAATTATAATATTAGAACTTTTCCCAGACGAACTTTTAGTGACATWCTCGTCTTTCTTGGGTGACGGAGCGTGATGTATGGTACATATATACACAAAAACCATGTGATTTTCATCGCGAGTTGAACGAAATACTCGACAGCATTTGATGGATTTTTTCTTCGTTTTTCAAGATATTGCATTTGACTGTACTTATTTTATCAACCTGAAAAACAAATTTACAAGGATTTAACATTTTAGAAGAGTAGTTGTAGTTTCATAAGTTGTTTTTTTTTTACCATTTCTGTTATTTCTGACTCTAACTCTTCGAGTTGACTCTTTAACGGCTCGATTTCGTTGTCAGTAATGCTGAAAGGATAAATTAAATTAACTTACCATTTTTTCAATTCAAGAATGCTTTTGGAAAGTGACTGGCATAGTAGAATCGAGATTGCTTGTTAGATTCGCGTTTACGTCGAACGACAAACGTCAAAACTGATCACGTGATCACTGTTTTTCTGTATTAACGCTCCGTTTAGTTCTTTCGCGATTTTGTATAAAATAGATCACTTTTTCGTATATAAGCGTATCACTATTCCTTTCGAAGCGTTTTTGCGTTTGTTTGAAATTTTGAGACAAAGCATAAAACCAATTTGACGTTTGCAGTAA